TCCGAGATATAGTGTCTCAATGTTGACTCTTTTGAGATTTTACATACAATGGTAATAAATGATATTGTATGTAAAACCTCAAAAGGGTCAACTTTAAGAGACTGTATCTCGGAAACTATTAAAGCTATCACGTTGTTCTATTTTGCAAATTGTCAGGAATTTAATCACGAAAAAAATAAAAATTTGTATAATTTTAAAATTGTTATTTAAGTTTTTACACAATTCAAGTAAAGGACACAAAAAAACTATAACAAAATCTCTAACCATGGCTAGCTTATTTTACTAAATTATTATTAAATAAGAATGTAAAAGGTAGTGTAATTATAATAATCTTAATAATTCTTATAATAAAATTTTATAATTATTTTTATGTATGACCTATAAAAGATTAACAGGAAGCATATCTAAATGAGAAAATTTTATTATCAAATACAAAATTAATATTCTCTGCAATATATTTTTATCCTGAAAAATATTTTAATGTATAATTAAAATAAAATTTTAATAAGATGCATTTTCAGTAAAGTTTTTTTTTTTAAATTAAATGTAAAATTTTAATAAGATGCATCTACTTTTACGTTTCTTTAAATTGATGTTTCGTCTAAAGATTTATTTTCACGTCAACTAAAAATACGATTGTACAATTTTATCCAAGGGGAAACCGGTAACAAATCGTTTGAGCTTTCCCGTAAATTTATGACTGTAACTTTTTGCTTTGAAGTTCTAAACATCTTAGAAACACAAATTTGGCTCAACTAAGAAATAGTATATAGTTGTTAGTATTTACTATATAAGATGAAAATAATAATATTAAATAAAAATTTAATAATTGTGATATTGTAGAAAATTAAAAATAATAAAATTAATAAATAAAACAATTTCAATCAAATAACAAACAAACAAAATTTTGTAATTATTATTTTTAACAAAACATATTTGATTTTTTTATATTGTAACTTAAAACAATTTTTTTTTAAGCAAAATGTGAAAATTCTACTTGCAAAGTAGATAAATCAGATGTTACGTTTATATAAAGCTTACAGTGCTGCGAAAGTAAGCAAAAGTTATTAAAAGGAGAGAAAATAAAACTTTATTCAGGATGCGAAATTTTTTGTTGTCTTTTTTGTTTAAATATGCCAAAAGTTGACAAGATCAAAATGTACGTCATAAAAGATATTTGTTAGTTTTCAAAATTTGTATACTTTATTTAACCTTTGTTTGACACACTGGGGTACAAAATACCCCACGTTTTTCCATTCTTACCAATTTTTCTCGAAATACCTCACGTTTTCCAATTTTTTAAAAATACTTACTTTAAATATTCTACTATATAACTTATATAGTTTTCAGAAGATACCTCTCAAGAATATGTAAAAAAAAATTGAAGTAGATATATTTAATATTTTATTTTTCATGATGATTTTTGTCGATGGGGTACAAAAAACCCCAATGTGTCAAGTATGATACTCAGAAAAAGTGTGTCAAGTAAAGGTTAAATTATATTGTAATCATTTTTCTATTAAGTTGTAATGATTGTTAAAGAATAATATGCAAATGCGAATGTTCGTCGGACCTGGGTTCAAAAATATAACAAATAATAAGAATTCAAATTACAGATAAATTTCTAAAAAAGCGTGTATTTATATGGGGCATTCTTTCTCAACGGGAGAATTGCTCCCCCCAAAAATGGTTTGGACGAAAAGAGTTCAATTAGGTCTCAAATTTTAGATATTTACGTCTATTTTGAAAAGCAAAGTGGCACTTTTTAAAATTCAAGATGGCGGATCTAATATGGCGGAAAATTAAAATAAAAATAAATTAAATTCACTTAAAATTTGTTACTCGCGAGTTTTTTGGGTCACTGAATATAAATCTAAAGTCAATTTTGTTCCAGCAAGTCAGGATTTTTTCCTAACCTCAAAAACATGTCGGATTTAATACAACAAGCAAATTTTTTTAAATATTAATCTCGAATTTGCTTAAACCTTGTTAATCAGGGGTTTTTGGGGTCGCTGATTTCGAATCTAGAGTCAGATTTTTAAAATTCAAAATGGCGGATCCAATATGGCGGACCAGATTTTAAAAAACTATTGGATTCTTATGAAACTTGGTGTCTTTTCTTTTTCATATTCGTGCATTTTGTAATTTTTGTAATTGGTTTCTTTAGAATCCTCCGTGAAAAATAATGTTTCATTTGGTAGACATGCTACCAATTTTATTGTTTGTATAAAGTCCCTGTATTTATGTTGGGTAATTGATTACTAGCTTTAATATAGTCTTTGCCTAAACATCTTTCACAACTTCAAGATAATTCTTTATGTTTGTAAACTACCAACAGAAAAAAAATTTTGATGAAATTTTAATTTCCTACAATGTTATAGGCCCTATAGTAATAATGACTACCCTTTGCGGTTTTTTTTCCTCAAGCTAGCAGAATTTGTTCTATTAACACTAAACTCGTGATTATTACGTCTATATTCTCAGTATACTTCAATATTATCAGACAGAGCAGATCTAGATATTTTTCCATACCTTTCGAAATAGGTCTTAAATCATTATTAGTGTAACTGGAAATACCAAACGCTTGGTAAGAATTACAACATCTATCAAAGTGTCTTTTGATTTGGCATACTGAACCAGATATTATCATGAAAAAAATTTACGCTAAAATAAAACTATAATTGAATAGCAACCATAACTTTCAGAACAAAGGCTTCTAATTCTCCAGTCCGACATTTAAAATTTCGAAAATTTAATATCAGATTTGTTTTCAGCGACCCAAAACCCCCAAATGACAAGTTTCAAACATAGATGGTCAGATTTTTTAAATTTCTGCAATATTAGATACACCATCTTTAATTTTTAAAAGAGCCAATATGCTTCTCATGACGATCTACCTTTTCAAATGTTGAAAATCTAACATCAGATTTATAATTAGCGACTCAAAAACCGTCAGATACTAAGTTTCTTAAAAATTCAAGTTTTTTAAATTCTCGTCCGCTATATTGGATCCGTCATTTTGAATTTAAAAAAATCTAACTTCAGATTCGTAATTAGTGACCCTAAAACCCCTATATATCAAGTTTTTTAAAAATTCACCATTTTTTAAAAAACTCGTTCTCCATATAGGATCCGCCATTTTGAATTTTAAAAATCTGACTCTAGATTCGAAATCAGCGACCTCAAAAACCCCTGAGTAACAAGGTTTAAGCAAATTCGAGATTATTTAAAAAAATTTGCTTGTTGTATTAAATACGACATGTTTTTGAGGTTAGGAAAAAATCCTGACTTGCTGGAACAAAATTGACTTCAGAAACATATGCAGTGACCCAAAAAACTCGCGAGTAACAAATTTTAAGTGAATTTAATCTATTTTTATTTTAATTTTCCGCCATATTAGATCCGCCATCTTGAATTTTAAAAAGTGCCACTTTGCTTTTCAAAATAGACGTAAATACCTAAAATTTGAGACCTAATTGAACTCTTTTCGTCCAAACCATTTTTGGGGGGAGCAATTCTCCCGTTGAGAAAGAATGCTCCATATAAAACTTAGAACATAACCTATATTACATATTTACATTAACGAAAGAAACGTGACGTAATTGAATGTAACGATTGGCGGAAACTAACGGAAAAAGATAACGCATGGTGAAACCATTTTATGCAGTAAAATTGCCCATGAGGTAAAACCTATTCGTCTGTGGTAAAACCACCTTTTTCTCCATTTGGACTTGTAGTAAAATTACTTTGAGGTAAGACCACTTCGGAGTGTGTCCTGCTGCGGTAAGACCACTTCGAAGAGTGACGATTTTCGGTGGATGCGCAACTCTTAAAGACGATCGGTTCAGTGGAAACGCATGCGCGGTATTTCGATGGGGACTGCTACTGCGGCGCGCGTGTCATAAATGAATACTACATAGATTTTTGATTTGTCGGTAACGTAATTATCGACCTCCGATAAATTTACAAAATAATTATTACGATAATTTTCAAACATTCAGAGCGGCGATCGATTAGAAAAATCAATACTCGGTCATTTAGGCATATAGAGTGAAATTGCACAGACTGGTTACAGTATTTATATGTATATATTTTTTTACTTTTATTTATTTTATTATATATCACATTGAACTATTTCTGAGATTACGAAAAATCTAGTATAAATTTTTTTAAGAAAATATTTTTTATTTTTAATTATAAAAATGTTTTATGAAAATTAAAGAAATGAATTATGAAAATAATAATTGAATACAATGTAATAATGAATGGAACAAAATTTTTTTCTGACAATAGAAAATGATTCTAATCAGTCCCTTATATTTCATGTTAAAAAATAATAAAACGAAAAATAGATAAATCTTTATATTTGTAAAACTCATGTTGCCCTGCCCAGTCATAATTTTTTGTCTTTTATGTATGTACATTTATTTATAGGATACACCTTTATTTCTTTATCTTTAGAAACAATATAGTATTGTTTAAAAACTTTTATTTCCCGTATATTATCAATGAGAAATATAAAACTTTGTATCTTGATTATTATCAAAATCAACAAGTCTTGCTAAGGAAGTAGATTGGTCAGTTTAGTGACTCGACATTTTATAGAGTCTGCGCAAACTTTGAGCCGAAGAGGCTCAATTTCTCTTCTCCCTTTACTTTTGCGTCTCTTTTCCTTGACTCTCTCTCTCTCTCTCTCTCTCTCTCTCTCTCTTACATCCCCTCTCTTTCGACAATATTTTCTTTCTTATAATTCTTTTTCTCTCTCTATCTTATAAGATTTTCTCTTTTTCACATGATTCTCTTTCTCTCTTATTCTCTTCCTCTTTCCTTCTCTCTTGAGCCCACAGGAAGAATTTACGGGGGTTGAGAATTGGGGTTGGTTACCGAGTAGTAGTATCCTCTCCCTCCCTATTGCGCTCTCTCTCTCGCTTTCACTCTTTCACCCTCTCTATAAGCTTTGCCTCGGACCAGCTTCAGTATTCGCACTCTGGAAACGCGACCAGACTGCCAGTCGCTCGGCGTTCGTTCACCGACGAACCCCCTCAAGTCCTAGCGGCGACGACGAAACAATGAGGACTATTTCCCGCTAATTTCGCAGAGCTTAAAAATTCACACCTAAAATTCAATCGAAAAAATATATTAAACAAAATTTTCCGACCAAATAAAAAATAGGAAACAATTAAACAAAGTTTAAAAAAAAAACATTTAGCAAAAATTTTATTAAAAATTATCCACCCCCCCAAGAAAAAAAGAAAAACATATGCATGTCCCATTCAGTGAACTCTCGAGTAGTTTCAACAAGTTGAGAAATCGATAAAGGAACCTAAAACAAAGAGTGAAACATTTTTTTTCTTAATAGCTTGTGAAGATAAAAATGTGATATTTTAGTATTAGGAAATAGATGAAAAGTGGAATAGTGACAGTTAGTGATTTTTTTGTGTGATTAGAAGATATTGTGGAGAGTGAAATTTTTGAACCAAAAGTGGAAAAAAAAATTTTATCCAAAAATAACATAAGTTTCTTTTTATAAAATAATTATTGTCACTTTCTTATCTATTATCTATTTTCCTATATCTAAATTCCAAACCGGAAAGAGGAGGAGGAGGAGGGTCTCTTGAAACCCCCGATGAGAATCTCACGTTGATTTCCCAAAGCACGAGAGCAACATCCGCAAGGATCAGACGAGTACGTGAAGAATAGAGCTATATACTTGGCAAGAAAAATACACGTTCTTTTCAGGAAGCAAGTGAATCGCACTATGAAAAAAGGTATTTGATATCATCGACTTGCCCTGATATGAGAAGAAGGATTTTGATCTTTTTTGGGGGAAAAAAATATTGCCTTGAGTTTCCTTCTTGAATGGTGAGATTAAAGGAGTTTCCTGACTTCTCGCATATGACTGAAAACGTGAGATATCGATTACATATATATATAGGAAGAGAGAGAGAGAGAGAGAGAGAGAGAGGGACAGATATATACAGATATATACAGATCGAGAAAATTGGTCGAGCGGTTAATCTTTGAGAGCTCAAGAGTTTCGTTCCGTTCAATGGACTTGGATGAGAATTACAGCATGAGTATAAAGTCAAAGTGTGTGTCGAAAGTCACGACTCAACTGTGGATTTGAAGCACACTTACTAAAAGGACGTGCGCTTTTAAAAGGATTGAGAAATTTTCTCTAAGGTGGTGGAATTTAAACCTTTGACTTGCCGTTCGATCGCTATCTCTCTCTCTCTCTCTCTATTAATAATGCCACGAGACTCATTATCGATCGATGTGGTGTATAAAAGGGAATAAAAAAAAGAAGTGGAAATTACAGAAGCGCGCGCGATAATTAAGAAAAGAAAAAGAAGAAGGGATGGAATCTCTTGTTGCCGATGGAATTTCATTTCATATAATATCCACGGTGAGTTCCATTTATCGTCGCATTTCAAAATCAATTTGTCTTTTCATTTTTAATCTCCTGCGCCTTGAGACTAAAGGATTTCAAATCTAACTGAACTCTCTCTCTCTCTCTTCTTTTTTTTCTCTAATACCTGTCTCTTAATTATTTCTTCTTTTATCACAAATTTAAAAAAAAATTCCATCTACATTATCTTCAAATGTTAAAAATTTTTCTTTATTATATATTTAAATTTATATATATATATATATATATATTTTTTTTTTTTATTTGTAACAAAATATCAAGCCCAAAGTCAAATGACCATTAAGGGCAATACAATGGTAAGTTCGGTCAAAGCAACAATATTCATGTAAAAGATCTAATGATAAGAATATAATGATCTAAAATACAATATGATACTAGTAAGTGTACTAATAATAAAATTTTTAAGATATATTACTACATCGAATAATTAAACCAATAGTATATAAAATTATAAACAATATAGAAAAAGGGATTAGCGTCGAGCAATAATGTAGTCTGTAATGAACAGTACATACGATATTTAAAAAAAATATATATTTTCGGCACTCGGATGTTTTATTTACATTCAAATAAATTCATATCACATTTCATTTTTATTATATTAAACACGGTATTTTTGAAATTTATTGTTTAAATCACTATCTGAAAATTAAAAACATTTATTAAATTACTTGGGAAACGAACGTCCGCTATTACTCCGGGTAAAATTAATTAGATTAAATGAAAAAGAAACAGATTTCATATAATATATATATTGTTTGGTGGCAATGTTTTGTATTACAAAAATACTTTTCCAATTATTTAATTTTTACTATTTTACGGAAATTTCATTAATCTAAGTGTAAATTTTTAATAATTTTTTAGCACTTTATTATTATCACTGCGTTAAAAAAAAAATATTTATTGTACAATAATAATTAAATAATATTAAATTAGTATTAGAAAAAAAAATTTTTTTTTTTATTAATGTAAATAAAAATATTTAAATTAAAAGAATAGAAGATTTTGAGTATTAAATGTGATTTATTGTTATTAATTCAAGAACGCAAACTAAATTCAATAACATTGTGTGTTGAAGTGAATTTGTATATATATATATATACAAATATGGTATGTGCGATGTATATCCATTATTCATTATAGGGTGATTTTTATCGATATGACAAACGAAGGACATGAAAATGTGTTATTCTATAACAAAATAATTAACTTCTAAAAATACAAGTTTTGCTGCAGTATGTTTACATAGACCGACTTTTTTTTTATTATTAATAAAAGAATGACAACTATTGTATATGTGCCCCCGACGAAAATTGCTTTTAATGAAAGCTTGACCTCGTAACATGCACCCTCTAGATACAATTTGAGTCAAGGGTATCGCCTGCGGAGAATCTAGGACTTGAATTGCTACTCATGCATACCAATGTTAATTAAAGGGTGATTGAACTTTACCCAACTCAAAAGGGCTTATTTCTCCGATCAAAGTGTCATTATTAAATTACAACTGTTTTCTTAAAATTTTTTTTATTGAAAATGAAAAGAACTCGAAATCTCATGCATATATTTACACTTGAAAATTGTCAATTATTTGTACTGTTAATAAATAAATAATTGAAATAAATTAATTTTTATTAACTAAATTATTTTCATTAAACATTTTTGTATTTAAAAAATAGAATTCAATATTCATCGGTGTTTTGTCTTAATCAAAAAATAAATTATTATTTTTAGAAAGAATATCTAATTAAAAACATTTTAAGTATATCGTTTTTCAAATTTTTTAAAATTCAATTATAATTAAAAAGTTACGTACCGTGAAATTAAATTATTTTTTTTTAGAAAATTTGAATCATTTTCATTTTATTCCAAAAAAGAGAATTCTAAATTTATCGCTTTTATATTAATTCCATTTCATAACAAAATTTCTTATAAATTTTATACAATTTTAGATGAATAAAATTTAACAACTATATTTAGAAATATATGAACGTTAGATAAATTTATTAAATTAAGTAAAGATAAATTGAATACTATGGATAACACAAATGTAATTTATAAACTCGAATGTAAACACTGTTATAGTAGCTATGTTGGGAAAACATACGGAATCCTTCAAACTAGATGTAAGGAACACAAGACTAATTATCGTTTAGATAAAAAATAGTTGTTACAAATAACAGACAAAAGAAATCTAATTATTATTTAAACAATGATTTTAATTAGAAAAACATTAAAATTTCTACATAAAGAAACAAATTTAAGAAATAGAAAAATTGCCTAAATGTTTTATACATAAAAAAAGGAAATAACAGTTTAAATAAAATAAATGATTTAGAAAATTTGTACTCATCGTACAAAAGAATTAATTTTACTTTATTTATTAATTTTCATTAATTTAATTTTAAAAATATTATAAAAACAATTAATATTTCACTTTTTAAAATTGCACACTACTTATTGTTAGTGCCTTACGGTCATGGTCTTGTGTTCCACGTTTTATACGTAACATATGTACTTTCGATTCAACCTGTTCTCTAATGTCATGCATCCCATCTACATAATTAGTACATGATTGTGATCCGTTTAAAAATAGATCAAAAAGTAAAAAGTGTTTTAAAATGCAAAAGATTTGTTTCGAAATTGACCAAAAAAATGGTCCAAGTTTTCTGAAAAAATTATTATTTATGGTAATTTATTTATTGAAAATATACGGGCCAAGCCTATTCGCATTGTTATTAATGTCGTTGAAAATTAAAACGCGCAATTTTTTAATGAAAGTTGTCAGTGAGTTACAGAAAAAATCAATGTGTTGTTATTAAACTGATTTGCCTCGCTGCTCAGTCTGTTGATCACTGAATTTGTTATATAGTTTTCTTTAATGAAGGGTAATTTAAATAATGGTGGGTTCCTAGGTGACCTTTGCGGCACATAGAAATCAAATAAGAACAACAGGTCCAAGCAGTTAATACGACTATTGATGATTTTATATAAAAAAAAAGAATATCAGCAAACAAAAATCTTTCAGATATTAACGGTATATTAAGGTTATATCTCATTTCACTATAAACCTGATTATTATAGTCTAACGACAAACCAGTTTGTCTGTCAGCAAAAATCTGTTTTGAACTCGCTCTATCAAAACCATAAATTCATTCTGATAAGGTTGCTATAGTATTGATGCAAATTCAAGTATCGGTCTAACCAACGAGAAGTACAAGCATTTCAAAGCATCAATGTTTTTAAAGCGTCTTGAATTTCTGGTCATGAAGTCTAATACTCTGGTGGCTTTATTTACAGTATATATGATGTGATTAGTAAAAGAAAATTTATGATCGATCATTACAACAAGATCACGTATGGAAGATACTCTGATAAGCTCCTCGTTACCAATAGAGTACTCATAAAATATTTTCAATTCATCAGCAAACAAATTTAGAAAATTTAAAGACTAAATTAATATCATTTATAAATAATATAAAGAGGAGTGGTCCCAGGTTTGAACCCTGAGAAACTCCAGAAGATGCAATAAAAATGTCAGAAAATTGATTCCCAATACGTACTGAAGAGGTTTTATCTGTCAAATAACTTTTTATCCATTTTAACAAAACATTAGAAAAGCCTTAAGCTTTGCCAAAAGAAATAATTTGATATTAAAAAATTGAATATTTAAAATTTTAATAATTTTATAATAGGGACCATTATATGTAAAGCTAACCCCAAAGGGTAGCACTATAGCAAGATCGTGAAGCGCCTAATTTTTTATTTCGATTAAAATGACATTTATTTTTCTTTTTGTATTTTATTAGAATCTGTAATTCGCACCCCTTTTTGTTCACTTATTTTAATATAGACGGCGCCTCCCTCTTTCTTTTTCTTATACAGCCCAACCTCTTTATAACTGATCGAAGGGCGCTTAGGGGACAAAATTAACCAATGTAGAGGGCCCCTACTACTACCTGTGTGTAAAGAGAATGTTGTTACGGCTTGGAACCTCTTTATAAACTCTGTGACATTTTCCTATTGAGTAATATTCTTTCCAGCTCAGATTGGGGTTTTATCGAGAATTCAGCTGACCTTGAAGCTGATAAAGAGGTAGTTTATAAAGAAGTTGGGCTTTATTTTGATTTAGAGTCACTCTCTATATTTTACACACAACACTACTTCCGTTTCACTCACAGAGTTGTACGCGACATACACAATTTATATTTTTATTTAAAACTTCACAAATGTGTAATTAGTGACAAATTAAAGATTGTTGTTTTTGAATCAAATTTATGACATTTTATTTCGTCGTACCACTGCATAATTTCTAATATATTTTTATAAGAACTATAATTTTAAAATTGCATTTATGTTTCATAATTGTATATATGTATAATTTTTAATAATTTTATTTTATTAAATTTATATATTAGATTAAACTTTGTGTAAATAATATATATTATTTATTATAATGTCAAATTATTTTATAAAATAATTATGGTATCAAGAGGGAATCTATGTTGTTATTTTCAAAAAATTATATAAATACATAAACATAACATTTATACTAATCCAACAAATGACATGTGTGAACATAGTGAAATATATTTCATTATTTATTTATTAAAAATATACGGGCAAAACCTATTAGTACAGAGTACTGTAGAAATACATTGTATGTGTTTTATATTAAATGGCTGCGTTGTTGTTGATGTCGTTGAAAATCAAAGTGCGCAAATTTTTAATGAAAGTTGTGAGTGAATTACAGAAAAAATCGATGCTGTTGTGAAACTGGTTTGCCTCATTGCTCAGTCTGTTAATTACTGAATTTGTTATATAGTTTTCTTTAATAAAAGGTAGTTTAAATAGCGGTGGGTTTCTAGGTAACCTTTGTGGCACATAGAAATCGAATAAGAACAGAAGGTCTGAGCATTTAATACGACCGTTGATGATTTTAAATAAAAAAAGAAGATCAGCAAACAAAAATCTGTCAG